TTTGATTTTTTTTTCTCTCTTTTGTGGCGTTTACTTTTGATCATTTTCATTTTCTTCTTATTTTTATTGGCCTTTCCGTCAGTGTAAAATTGATAGATAGTGCTTCTATTTAGATCTTCAGATCAATATCGCCAGTCTAATAATGAGCTTAGAATATCTTTTGTGTTGATTAAGTATTTGAAAATTGTTTTCCCTTGGTTGTTTAAGTACTGAATTATAAGTGCATTGAACTTTGAAATGCACTCGTGTGATTTATAATTGCTTAACACAGAAATAGAACGATTGAGGATAGATCCTCAGTTTTTTTATTCCTTTCTGGGAGTCTTTAACTATTTACCAACACGAGACTCTGGTTCTTTGATCATTTAATAATCGATGACTTGCTCTGTTTAATTGCCAATATCATATTTCTTTTAATTTTACAGAACAGTTGGAGACAAGTTCTTCCGAAGTTCTCTCACTAATTTATATGATCAGAAATTTGAGGCTTAGGCAATTAGAAAATTCTTTTATCATTTGGTACTGCAATTTTGACAGCTTCAACTTTCTATGGGCAGGTTTTTGTGAGAGACTTCGTTCCCTGTGGATTGGCCTGTCTGATGAAAAACAATGCAGACGTAGAAATTGTGAAAAATTTCCTGTTAAAGACGCTCCACCTCCAAGGCTGGGAGAAGAGAATTGATAATTTTACACTTGGAGAAGGCGTAATGCCTGCAAGTTTCAAGGTGAGTTATGACGCACAGAGACAGAAAGAAATTTTGCAAGCAGACTTTGGGGGCACTGCCATTGGAAGAGTTGCCCCTGTGGATTCTGGGTTCTGGTGGATTATACTACTGAGATCATATACTAAATGCACACATGATTATTCTCTTTCAGAGTTACCTGAGGTGCAGAGAGGAATGAAACTGATACTCAACCTATGTCTGTCAGATGGTTTTGACACATTTCCTACGCTCTTGTGTGCAGATGGATGTAGCATGATTGACAGGCGAATGGTAAGCTTTCTTTTCTTCTATTTCGTTATACCAATGCTTTGTGGTTGGTGCATAAACTGCTAAACCAGATGAACACTCAAAATAGCCAAGTTATAATGCTGAAGAAAGTAGTTGAAATAGCTTATACCTCTCTTCTCAATTGATTTTCAAGGTAATTTGCTTTCTCACTTAAAGGCCAGTCTGCATTTTAATGCATTCTGCTATTCCCTGTTCGACTCTAGTTCTAAATTACCTGCTCAATTTTGCTAAGGTTTTGCTTCATTTGAATTTATGATTATGATTTTAGTTTTTGTTTGCTTTTGGTGACAGGGGATATATGGGTATCCAATTGAGATCCAGGCCCTCTTCTTTTTTGCCCTGAGGTGTGCAAGACAAATGCTTAAACCAGAGCATGATGGCAAGGAATTGATTGAGCGAATTGACAAGCGAATCACTGCTCTGAGTTATCACATTCAGAACTACTACTGGCTTGACTTCACTCAACTGAACAACATTTATCGCTACAAAACCGAAGAATATTCTCACACTGCTGTCAACAAATTCAATGTCATCCCTGAATCTATTCCAGATTGGGTACTTGAATTCATGCCACTAAGAGGAGGGTATTTCATTGGCAATGTAAGTCCAGCTCGCATGGACTTCAGGTGGTTCTTAATTGGAAACTGCATTTCTATTTTGAGCTCTTTAGCAACACCAGTTCAGGCTACAGCCATTATGGATTTGATCGAGGAGCGCTGGGCAGATTTAATTGGGGAGATGCCACTGAAAATTGTGTATCCGGCACTTGAAGGGCATCAGTGGAGGATTGTTACTGGATGTGATCCAAAAAACACCCGATGGAGTTATCATAACGGAGGCTCATGGCCAGGTTAGCCCTATGCTTCTACAATATAGTCTGAAGAACATTGTTTTTGTTATTAATGGCGATTCTAGACAGATTTCTTTGACAACACAAGTTATTCACTCTCAAAAACCTTATTTTTCTGGAAGTCAGCTCATAAATTCAGTTGAAGTTATATGATTAATTATGTATTTTGTAATTTTGCCGATTTCTTAATTTCTTCATAAGTCAATCGTGAGATCATACGCCCTTTCTTTCCTTCCTAGTTATTAGAAAGGAAGAGGGTAAATGCCAGTTTGATAGAACCTATTACTGAAATGAACAATGCACTCCACTACACATTGTTAATCTTGACGGTTTTATAAATATGTTATGCACATATTGTTAAATGGTGTATGTTTTTGTAGTTCTACTGTGGCTACTGACAGCAGCAAGCATTAAAACTGGAAGGCCTCAAATAGCAAAGAGGGCAATAGAGTTGGCGGAGCAGCGGCTGTCAAAAGACGGATGGCCGGAGTACTATGATGGGATAACAGGGAGGTATGTGGGGAAGCAAGCAAGGAAGAATCAAACATGGAGCATTGCAGGATATCTGGTTGCAAAACTCATGATAGAGAACCCATCCAATTTGCTAATGATATCTCTTGAAGAGGACAAAAAGATAACAAAGCCAAGGCTCACCCGCTCTGCCTCATGGACCTTTTAGACCCTCATCCTATTAAACATACATATATCAGGTATCCCCGTGGTTTTTGGTGACTAATATAAGTCTACTTAACACACAGTTGTTCTCATTCTCACTATCTTTGAATGCTAGAAAATCTGATCCCTTGTAATGAATCTGTTAATCAGCTACAAATGTTTACTAGCACGAGTTTGGGAATAAGTATTGGAATCCACTACGTCTAATAAGCACGACCAAACAAGCACTAATATTATATTGGTGTATGTACATACATATTTATATACAAGTATGCATATGATACTAATCTTATGAGCAAAATGTCTGCTAATTATTTCTTGTAAATGGGAAAAGAAGAGAATTTTTGTGAACAACTCTACTAATCAACTCCATACGTACCTGGAGGTGTAAAAATAGGTCATTTAATTTCAAAGGAGCCTCACATGTGTTGATTCTAAGAATATACGTGCATATATAAAATCAAAGGAAATAGAATATAGAAAATTCAATAGAGGTTCTGGAAAACTCTCATTTTGTTGAGTTGGAGAACATTCAACAAGCG